TTGCAGTTGCGTTATATAACCGCTTGTTTTTTTTTCAAATTGTATTGCTTGAGCATTGTAATTACTTTTGAATCAATAACAGTATAACCACTAATTTTCTAATAATATACACATAAACTTGTCGCACATGCATAGTTAAAGCGAAGCTTAGAATAATCTGGTACGCACGTAACGGTGTCACAGTTCCGCTTATTATTGGTTTAAGTGGATGATGACATGCGGTGGTGGTGGCGGCTAGGGGAGGTTGGTTTTTGGTTTTGAGGGCAAAAAAGATGAATGTCACACAAAAAAGCAGACAAATAATTTAAGTGGAAAGGGGTTGTCAAGTGTGAAATGTGAGCGTGAAAGCAAGTAAATATAGTATGTGGGAGTCTTGACTAAATTGCTCCATGGATTTTTCAATGTGTTAATTATGTGCCCTTGGAGCCTAGCCTAGTTTGGACTTTGGACTTTCTAGTATCTTCCCCCCTTGATTTTCTTTGCTTGGTCAAATGCTAACCTCGTTCAAAACATGTTTAACAACAAAAATGTGTGAGGTAATGGTGGGATTAGTTATAATCAACGAGTTAACGACGAGTTAGCATTTTTGTTCACCCTCTGCAGTGACAGTGAGGGTGATGTTCCTTTCTCATTTGATTGTCATTATATTGATTTCAATTTTGAGATTCATATCTTAAACTAACTAAATCAAGGTAATCTAATGACAATCAATCAGGGCAAGCATCACCCCTCTTAAAAAAGGGATATGACAAAATTGGCAGACGCTGCAGACTTAATTGGATTGAGCTTTGGTATGGGAACCTATCAGGTGAGATTTTCAAATTCAAAGAAACCCTGCAATTAAAATTGGACAATCCTTAACCAAATCTTGTTTAATGAAATAAACAAGGGTTTCATAAAACCCGAATAAAAAATGATGGGGTGAGCAAAGTTGCAATCTTAACAAAATATTTATTATGTTAAAAACATGAGTGCAAAGACTTCATAAAAAATCTCGGTTTCAACAGAGTTATCTTTTAAACATTTCTCAAAAGTGGGATTGGGAAAGCAGGTAAAAAGTTGTGACCAGTATGTTGGTGCTGCCATTTACTCTAAAATAAATATCACAACACATAAAGACCATACATTGATTCCTCGAGAAAATAAGGTAGACCATTGACTTTTGACTCTTTCTTTAGTAGTGTGTGGTTGGCAAAGGGCAATAGTAAATTGGTAATTAACAACCATATGAAAATGTCACCCTAATTGATACTTATTTTTTAATCTTTATCTCTTCAAGGGAAAAAAGGAAGGGAAGGGTAGTAGAATAGTTATACAGAGGCGGTTTTGGGTGAAGAGATTTTTCAGTGTGACCGTCACACATGATGGTACATCATATGTCGTTATATAAATGATGAGATATATGTGTTAAAAAGTTAATAACTTAAAAAATAAAATTTTCCACTACTTACATAAAAACAAGTGGTGTACCACCCGTATTCCTGTCACAACTAAAAAATTTCTCTTTTGATGGAGCGAAAGATGCAATCCCACTGAACTTCAAATTTAAAATGGCTTCAATAATCTTGCCATCTAAAATTTATATATAATAATGTTATACATTTAAAAAATTACGTCTATTACCATTAGCACTTTAAAATATTAGAATGCACAACGAAAAATTTAGGGGAAATTTGGAAAAATAACCAAATTTTAGATCTCATATAGAATTATAACCACTATTTTAATTTTATGATAATTATAACCAAAACTTGATGTAAAAGTATTAATATACCCTTAATACTAAGGTTTCTTATAACAACCTGTTGACCCTAGAAATTACAAAGCCTACGTGGCGCGCAGGCCGAGTATATTCTAAGCTAACTACGTCCTTCGGTGATTGCGGGGCGTGCCAACTCGTCGGCCGAGGCTCGGCCGAGGAGTAAATTTGATGATGTTGCGTTGGGTCGCGCTACTGACTTCTGCGTCTTGCGATTGCGGCCGAGAAAGGAACACGTCTCGGCCTCTTGGGTTCTCGAGCCTGAAGACAAGGCTGCTATTTCTTACAAAGTTCACGAACCGAATTCGGCTTGCAATATGCCGAATGTAATAACTGTGACACCTCACCTCGCCGAGAAGGCTAATGAGATGACCTCGACCAACAAGGATTCGAAAACCCTTCTCGACCGAGACTTGGATAGGTAATCGACCGTTCTCGCCGCAGTGCTGTTGATGCCAACGGAAGATACTGCGAGACCGACCGACTCTACGGTGACAGAGCTATCTATGCCGACTTAAGATATCACCGGTTGCTTCCACAGTGCTGTTGATGCCAACGGAAGATGTGTCAGCGAAAAAAGGAAAAGAAAAAGATCTCAAGTTGTGAGAGTTTGCGCAGGGCAATTTTGTATTGATTTTTGTGGGGGCTTTTCCATTGCTGAATGTCTTGTATTTATAGAAGCAGAACACCGAGCCCGAGTTCTAATCCTATTCGAACTAGGTTTCCTTCTCCGGATTAACGTTACCTCAATCAGTCCTACCTCTGCTAGGACTACGAATCTAGTCCTTAACTGAGCCGGATTCGCCTTCTAGTTTTACTGATCTCGTCGAGGGTCCCTATTGTATTAGGACTCGACTTGCACTCTGATTTAACCGATCTAGGCCTAGAAGCCCATGAGCTGAAGCCCCCATGACTTTCTCGCCGTAGTCTTCCCGGGCCGAAAGTGATACCTCCCTCGGCCCAAACTGCTATTTTGGGCCCAAACACAACCACAACACAACCTTTAAACTACCTTAAAATGTTGAGGATTACTGCAGATTGAGGCCACTGAATTAACTTTCTCTTTAATTAGCAAGACAACCTATGAGAATGTTCTTCAGAATGTACTTGTTGACCCTAGAAATTACAAAGCCTACGTGGCGCGCAGGCCGAATATATTCTAAGCTAACTATGTCCTTCGGTGATTGCGGGGCGTGCCAACTCGTCGGCCGAGGCTCGGCCGAGGAGTAAATTTGATGATGCTGCGTTGGGTCGCGCTACTGACTTCTGCGTCTTGCGATTGCGGCCGAGAAAGGAACGCGTCTCGGCCTCTTGGGTTCTCGAGCCTGAAGACAAGGCTGCTATTTCTTACAAAGTTCACGAACCGAATTCGGCTTACAATGTGCCGAATGTAATAACTGTAACACCTCACCTCGCCGAGAAGGCTAATGAGATGACCTCGACCAACAAGGATTCGAAAACCCTTCTCGACCGAGACTTGGATAGGCAATCGACCGTTCTCGCCGCAGTGCTGTTGATGCCAACGGAAGATACTGCGAGACCGACCGACTCTACGGTGACAGAGCTATCTATGCCGACTTAAGATATCACCGGTTGCTTCCACAGTGCTGTTGATGCCAACGGAAGATGTGTCAGCGAAAAAGGAAAAGAAAAAGATCTCAAGTTGTGAGAGTTTGCGCAGGGCAATTTTGTATTGATTTTTGTGTCTTCTGATGTTGCTTGCGCTCTCGTATTTATAGCATCAAAACTCTTAGCCGTGCTGGAGAATTAAAGTCGTGGACATCCCACCATCTCTGATGATAAACCACAGCCATCTTTATCCCAATCAACAATTACCTAGTCATCAGGTAAGATCACATTGGATAAAATGACATATGCCATCTTTTATCCCATATTTTCCCGTGCCTGAGTTCAAAATAAACAGCACCTTTATCCAAGCACCTTTATTGGCTAATGATAATCTAATCCCATCTTTATCTCCATTATATTTGCATAAATGCATGGGAGATAGTCTTCCAATCCTTCACGTACATGCATGATACCAATCTCAATCTCAAGCTGGACTCTTCCGTTTAAACTCTTGATTTCTTGGAGATCGCCCAAATTCAGTATTAATACCTAGAAAAATATTAAAATTCAATAGTCTAGAATCCGCTCATCCAACGGCCTCAATTACTTGGGCCGGTAATGTAAAATCGGGTCCAAACAGTACTAATTCCATAGCTAATTATTATTTTTGTAATTAGATACTTCGATTTAGTGTTTCACTGACTAAATTGCATACATTCCAATATATTTTTCCAGTGGATGAAGAAAGAATACGAAATTGCATATGCAAAGTGAATAGTGAAAACAAAAAAGTGATGAAGATTAATTTCTCATTTTAGGATAGTTTAAAGGTTTGTTTTGGTTGTTGTGAGAAACCTTAATATTAAGGGTATATTAGTACTTTTACTTCAAGTTTTGGTTATAATTATCATAAAATTAATATGGTGGCTATAATTCTATATGGGGTCTAAAATTTGGTTATTTTTCCAAATTTCCCAAAATTTAGAGTGCCAATAGCAATATCGTAAAAAATTATTGTTTTTTCAAATTTATTATATAACAATGCTATATATATATATATATATATATTCTTGTTTGGTTGTTTAAGATTGGATTAATTTTGATTATTTAGTGAAAGTTATGTCTGTAGCTCAATTTACTTATTATTTAATGTTTGTAAATTTACAATGTTGATTCATAAAGTTTGTTTTGATTTAAGTTATTGTTTTCTAACGTCCATACATTGTTTTTTTTTTTTTGGCAATCTATTTTTAGACGGGGCCATTTTATAAATTTCGCACCCAGGGCTCCCGATATCTTAGAGACGGCTCTGAGTTGTAGCATCAAATATAAATTAGTCAGCAATATGTGAAAATTTCGTAATTATGTATTCACTCTTACACTCGAAATTCCGAATTCAATACTTATATTTTGTCATGTAAAAATGGAAACCTAGTAGAAAGGATGAGTAATCAACACTGGGTTTAGTACTTAGAAGTCCAGCCCAATTCAGTATACAAGCAACTCATTTTTCTCGGTCGACGCCGTAGGGAATACCCAAGGACAAAAGGGTAAAACAACAATGCATGAAAGCAGAGACGTCGACGCGTGGTGCGACGCGAAATGAAGAGGAAGAAGCCGCCAACCCCAGCCGCCTACAAAATATCTACGTTCCCACTTGCGTCTTTCCGGCGGAGTCCTCCCGATTCAAAAATCCAGGCCTCCTCCGCAAAACCCATCCAAGGCGGAGAGTCGCTTTCAGCAATCAATGCAAATATTCAAACTTTTTTGATTAATTAGTTGTTAATTTGTTTTAATTTTTTAATTAAATTAAACAAAGAAATCAACTTTGTCTGAGTCTCTTTCTCTCACATCGTTGAAACCTCAAAACCGGAGACTCCAATGGGTCGTCGCCTCAACCTATCAGAACCCTTCAACACTCCCCAAACCTCGATCCCTGTATCCACCCGCTTATTCGCCGCCCGATTGGGTTTGCTCCCAAATCGATGGCTCTCAATGCGCCTCGCTCCGACCCCCAATCCGCCGCCCAGAAGGCCGTCGCGGTGATCGGGTCCGGGTACGATCTCTGCAACGACATCCGGCTCACCGCGTGCAAGCCCATGCTCGTCGACCTTGACCCGACCCGGACCCGCGACCTCTTCGTCCCTGGCGGGCCCGTCGTGCGCGGCGTCTCCACCTCCATCAGGTGCGATAAAGGCGAACGCACCAGGTTGCGCTCCGACGTCGTTTCGTTTAATCAGGTACTGTTTTTTCCTTTCTTGGGAAAGGAAATTCGTCTGCTTTTCGTTTTTTTTGGCGCGAAATGGTTTCTGGGTTTTGATTGTGGTTGGTGATGAAGAATTGGAGAAGATCGAATTTTTAAATTTTTATAGTAGCAACGGTAGAATTTCATTCAGCACGAAACCAGAAGCAGAATAAGAGGTATGGGAGGCACAAAACGAGACAGCCAAAGGCTTTGTTTTCTGCTAACAATCTCTGCTTTGTTTGTATTCCCAGATGTCAGAGCAATGCAACAAGGAACTGTCTCTAACGGGCAAAATTCCGTCTGGTCTGTTTAATGCTATGTTTGGATTCACTGGCTGCTGGCAGAAGGATGCAGCTCCCGTAAAAGCTCTTGCTTGTGATGGTTGGTTGATAACTCTGTATGACATTGAGCTAGCGAGATCCCATGTAAAGCTATCCGAGCATGTGAGACAGGAAGTGCCTTCTACATGGGACCCTGCTGCCCTTGCTGCGTAAGATTTCATTTCTTTATCGGATAGCTCAATTCTCCAATACCTTTAGTGATGGCTTCTGCTGAATTTTTGCGTGTTAATGCTCTTTCACATATTCTTCCATTGTTGAATGCACATAAAAGTTTTTGTTGAGTTAGGCACTTGAAACTATATACAAATTACGATAACATAGAGGTGTAAAAGCAGAATGTATATCGTTCCCCTTGCCGGACGGTTATTTATGTAGATTTTCCAGCTAAGGTTTGTACAACAGTTCTGTGCCACTGCGCTGATGTTTAAGAATTTGAATTCCAGGTTCATTGAAAAATACGGTACTCATATTGTTGTAGGGGTGAGGATGGGTGGAAAGGATGTAGTTCACATAAAGCAGTTGCAAAATTCAAATCTTCATCCCACAGAAGTGCAGGAATTGTTAAAGCAATTAGCCGACGAGAGGTTTTCTGAGGATGGAACTGGATCGGAGTCCAATGATTTATCAGGAAAAACGAAGGTAAGCAGAATTTTGAATTGTATAACCTTGCCTCTTTTTCTTAGAATCTTATGCGCTTCTGTTTTATCTTGATACGTAATTATGAAAGTGGAAGTTGTGGACATTGATGAAGTGACTTATTTTAATTTTAATGTTTATGTTCGTTGTTTCAGGATGACGATTCTATGCACTGGGATGTTCGTAGAATGTATGCACCCTCAATAAGGCGACCTATCATCACACAAAGGAATGATGTAAGCCCTTTGGTGTCCATTTTAACACTTGTTTCACAAATTCATTGAATGTGAAACAATCAACCTGCATTGGATGGATGAAGATATCTATATTTTTCAATTAATGCAGGGTACAGTTACTGTTTGTGTTCGAAGGGGAGGTGTTGATATTAGTCAAAGTCATAACAAGTGGCTTTCAACCGTATCAGAGTCACCTGATGTCGTATTGATGTCCTTCGTGCCCCTAACCTCTCTGTTGGGTGGCGTCCAAGGAATTGGATTTCTAAGTCATGCAGTGAATCTCTACCTTAGATGTACGTATCCCAGTAGCTAAATTATTTTCCCATAAAAAGTTTGAAAACACTCATGTTTCTATGGTAAACCTTGCAGACAAACCGCCAATAGAGGAACTCCATCAATTTTTGGAATTTCAGTTACCACGTCAATGGGCTCCAGTGTATGGCGATCTCCCTCTCGGTCTCAGGCACAGAAAACAAGTATCCCCATCACTTCAGTTCACCTTTATGGGCCCAAAGCTATACGTTAACACTATGAAGGTAAATATCTTGTGATGTAAAATATTGACAAAGTAGCTGCTGATAGCATGTTGGGAATTCCTTGTTCTTTGAAGACTTTCAATTTTATATGTTTTATCAAGCGATGAACTCTTTAAGAAATTCTTAAAACTGGAAAATTGTTGTGTCGATGAGTTGAAAGATGCACTATTCTTTACCTCGATTCGCAAAACATGAAATGAGTTGAAATGTGCTGGAAAATTGTTCACATTTTCATTGATCCTATTACTCATGCTATCGCCCTTGGATTGTGGTTTCTAATTTTACAATTTTCAGGTTGATACTGGAAATCGACCGGTGACAGGAATGCGTTTGTATCTTGAAGGTAAGAAAAGTGACCATCTGGCAATCCATCTCCAGCACCTTTCTACTCTTCCCAGTACTCTCCAACTCTCAGATGATCACAGTTATGATCCCATTGACGAGCCAGAGGAACGAGGCTACTTTGAACCTGTCAAGTGGAGCATATTTTCACATGTATGCACTGCCCCAGTACAGTACAATGGGGCCTGTATTGATGATTCGGCTTCAATTGTGACAAAGGCCTGGTTTGAAGCCAAGTCTGTCGGAATGAGGAAAGTTTTGTTCCTGAGGCTAGGATTTTCAACAGTGGCGTCTGCAAAACTCCGAAGGTCAGAGTGGGAAGGACCCTCAAGCTCTTCTCGAAAATCAGGATTCATCTCGACCTTGATGAGCACAAGGTTCAGTACTGCATTGAATCCGCCTGTGACGCCCAAAAAAGTGGATTTGAATTCAGCAGTTTACCCCACAGGGCCACCTTTACCAAGCAAGGCACCGAAAATGGCGACGTTTGTAGATACCAATGAAATGTTAAGAGGTCCCGAGGACTCGCCAGGATATTGGGTGGTCACCGGCGCCAAGCTCTGTGTAGAGGGTGGGCGAATCTCAGTGAAAGTGAAGTATTCGTTATTGACAATAATGTCAGAGGATTCTATGATGTTGTAAGAAACCAAAATAGGGAAGAAACACATACTTTTGTTGTAAATGTTATACCTTGTACATTGTCCATTCTTAAAATTGATTTGGAACTTCACTAGATTCAAAAAAAAAAATTGATTTGGAACTTGATTCCATATGGTTCAAATCCAAACTGATTTGCCAATGTGATTCTTTTGTGAGAATTAAACAACTATTTTTCCTCCATCATGGCTACCGTACGACAAAAATTTACCGACATCTGATTTGTGATACTGTCATAGTGACGCCACTGTTGAATGTTTTAGTTTTAAGGTTTTTAAGAATAAACTCCTTTTTTCAAATAAAAAATAATATCAATTAATTTATTAAAAATTACACTTTAATAGGCATACAAAATTGTAACATAATTCCACAAAAATCACCAATAATCCCCACAAGAGCATGAGCCATCTTTGAAATGATGGAATCTGTTGACGTCCCTCACAATAATCTCCCTCGAAACAATCTTACAGATGAACTTTAGTGCTGTATGGCAGTCCACACGTACTCTTAGATTCTTCTTCACCCTGATGGGAGCTCCCGGCCGAGTGGCAATCAACGCGAAAGCCACTGTAAGCTTCTCGCTGTGGTAGCGCAGAAGCCGCTGCTTTTCGCCTTGTTCCACGTCATGGAGGTCCATCTCCACCATTGGAACATAGCCGGCTTTGTACAGTAGGTTGAAAAGTTCATCGAATTTCGCATAAACTTCATCGCTTCTTGAATGGCTTCTATCTCCTACTATAAATGTGTGTACCTGGTCTCTGACCTCAATCCAACTCATCCCAGGTTCCTTCTTTACCTGGCCATCTTTCATAAGTTTTCTCATTTTCGCCACATTACCCCACATGCCGGCTGATGTGCAAATGTTTGCAAGAAGTACGTGAGTACCAGATTTCTCGGGCTCAAGAACTAAGAGCATTTCAGCAGCGCACTGGCCAAGCTCAACATTTTTATGGATTCTCGCAGCACCAAGAAGTGCCCCCCAAACAGATGTGTTCGCTTGAAATGGCATTGTGTTGACAAGCTCCGTTGCCTCATTTATCTTCCCTGCTCTGCTAAGGAGATCAATCATGCAAGCATAATGCTCTTGCCTCGGCACAACTCCAAACAACTCTGTCATGGACTCGAAATACTTTTTGGCTTCCATTACCAAACCTGGGTGATTGCAGGCACAGAGGACACTTACTAAAGTAATGTGATTGGGGGAAACACCATTACTAAAGTAATGTGATTGGGGGAAACACCATCCTCGAGCATCTGAGTGAATAAGTTGAGGGCCTCTCTTCCATGCCCGTGTTGAGCGAGTCCTCCAATCATTGCAGACCATGAAACTATCCCTCTCTCAGGTACCTCAGTGAAAGCACGATCCTCATCTTCTATGCTTCCACATTTTGCATACATGTTAACAAGAGAGTTCCCCACAAAAGGATCGGACATGAATCCAAACTTGAGAATGTGAACGTGGATCTGTTTCCCTTGCTCTTATGCAGACAAATTTGCACAAGCATTCAGAAGAGAGCTGCATACAAATGAATCAGATTTGTTTTCCCTCTCCAGCATTTGCAAGTAGAGTTTTAGAGCTTCTTCTCCTTGTTCATATTGCGAATAGGCTGTGATCATCGATGTCAAAGCCACCGCATCCTCAATTGGGCATTCTTTAAAAATTCTTGCCGCGTCTTCTACTCTGCCACATTTTCCATATGTATCAAGAAGGCTATTTATAACATACATATCAGACTCAAAACCTGTTTTGATAGAAAGTGAATGAACTTGTTCACAAACATCAATGGCCTGCACGCTCGCCGTGGCTTTGAGGACTGTAGATAAGGTAGTCTGGTTAAATTCTCCTCCCTCCTTGTACATTTCAGAAAAGAGGGATACGGCTTCTATATCTTCCCCATTCTGCGAATGTCCCGAGATCACAGCATTCCATGCAATCATGTCCTTCTTCGGCACCATATCAAAAAGAACCCTTCATCATCTCACACTTGCAATACATATCTATCAGTCCAACATTGACAAATGAATCTGATTCCGTATCCATCTTTATCAAGAAAGAGTGTAACTGCCTACCCAATTTCTTGGACCCCAGTCCAGCACAGGCTTTAAGTGCGCTCGACAATGTGAACATATTTGGACGGATTCCTGATCCTTTCATTTGCCTAAAAAATTTTAGAGCCCGATCATGGTACTCGTGAAGAACACAGCCAGCAATAACAGCATTCCAGGAAACAATATCAGGCTGTGCGATTTTCTCAAAAACTGTTGCTGCATCTTCAAGACTTTTGACTTATGCATATATGTCAACAAGCGCATTTGCTGAGAATGAGTCGGATTCGTACCATATACCCATGAATTTTCCTTCCGTGACTTCCATCCCCGAGCCCAGTGCATGCGTTTATTCTTCTAGATAGACTGTACTCGTTAGGTCTTACTCCACTTAGAATCATTTCCTGAAACAAATCCATTGATTCTCCATGAAAATCACTCTGCACATAACAAGAAAACAATGCATTCCACGAAACAACATTCCGTTCTGGAATGGCATCAAACAGCCTCCTAGAATCCCCAAACTCCCTGCATTTCGCATACATTACAACCAAAGTATTTGCAACAAACTCATCATACTCAAACCCCGTAAACAGCGCAACCGCGTGAACCTGCTTTCCGAGTCCCAAATCTCTAGTAATAGAGCACGCTTTAAGAACACTCGGAAATGTAAACTCATTGCACTTAACTCCCAACGAGTGCATCTCACGGAACGCCGAAAGGGACTCTTTTCCAAGCCCATTTTGGGCATACCCAGATATCAAAGCAGACCAAGAAACCAAATCTGGTTCAGGACTTTCATCAACCAGTTTCCGGGCGTGCCCAAAAAACCGACATTTCGAATACAAATCAACGAGATGGTTCGGAAGATTCGGGTCCTCAGAACATCCGAATCTGATCATGTGGGCATGGATTTCTCTGCCCACAGCAACAGATTTGGAAGCAGTGCATTGCGACAGAAGCTTAGAGTAGGATACAGAAGTGGGGGTGAAATTAGGGTTTAGGGTTTTTGCTTCGGTGCTGAAATGAAGGGAGGTTTGGAGGTGTTTGAATGGCAGGTAAAGTAGTTGGGGAAGAGGGTTTTGGAGGGAGTGGAGGCTTCTTATATGTGGTCTCACGTAAAACGTGTGGAAGAGGCTAGTTATATTAAAAAGTTTGAAAGATGCTTCAATATACGTGGTCTCACGTAATTTGATATAATTTTAACAAAAAGAGCTAAACACTCCAAAAAAGTGTGTAACGTGAGATCGCATATGATCTGTTTAGATTGACAAAACTTTGTTGTTATGATTACAATCTGGATTTCAAAAACTCAACAGAAAATATTTATGTAACTTGATAAATGGTAAGGCCGTTCCCAAATGATTTATAACATTTTCCTAGATGTCAACAGAAAAATCTTGTGAATTCTAAATACTTTTTCATAAAGAATTAAGTGATATAACTCATGATTTTGAATCGGATTTTGCATGCCGAAGTCATCATCCTTTCGTGTTATCCATTTCTCTATCCCAACCAATAATCTGATCGATCACGTCACCTATCTGACCAATAAAAATTAGCCGGTTAATAATCCACATCTAACGTTGTTTCATCCCTTATGTAGCTTTGTTCACAAATTTTCCGGCCAAAAGAACATATCGGGAACAACAGAATGAATTGAAAAGCTTCATTGTTCATCAGAGGATTGAATTGATCTGCTGAAAACTTCACATTCACCCGTTTATATGTACAAAAGCCGAAAACTATCATAAATTAATCTTCTCCATTGACTAAAACAACGAACGTTACTTCAGAACGCATTACATTCTCGAAGATAAGGTGCTAAAGATAAAGATAGGTTATTCTGATCAAGAACTCATAGCTAATCTCATTCGAGGCACGTATTCGGTTGTTTAAGAAGGTAAAACCATTAGAAACCCGCCCGATAAGTGCCCCCTAACAAGATTTTGAATAACTGATCATTTTTATTATCGTAGGTACAACTTACTGTCTCCAATCAGTCACCTAACAGTGTTGAGAGGAACAGATCTTGCACGAAACCAGCTCTTCCAGTAGCTTGTCGAATCCTTTTCTCCCGCTCTTCATAACTCAAGGAAGGATCAAAACTGCAAAAGAGAGAGACGGAGAGAGACGGAGAAAGAGAGAAGAGAGAGACATATTTCAGATTCAAAGAACAGCATTGTAGGCTCTTACACAAGCAATAATCCGGAAAGATGGGCATCATCGGATAATCCTCTTCACCATCAACAGTTCTGATTACATTAGCCCCTGATTCATTATCATTGTTTACACCTTTAGGTGAACTAAGAAATGCTATAAATTGAGTGATTTGGTTACACTGATCATGAACCCCAGCATACTTGGCGTAGTCGCATTGTCTAGAGCAAATGTGCTACCCCATATGCACCCAAGTTCAATCCCCCTCCCCACAGTTTAGATTCTTTTAAAGTAGAATATTTGCTTGCATCAGAAGGAGAATCCCTGTATTAACACAAAACTCAAACCAAGGCGTCGACTTGGCACCACCTTTGTCACTAATATTTACACCTTGAAGAGGCTTGAACACCACACCCACCCAAACAAAAGTTGGCAATACTGTACAACCAAGGTTGGTGATTTTATCTACCAATAATTTTGGTGCACTCATAACATGCAGAACGAGTTTTAGGAAGAAAGAAATAACCATGTACGTGAAATAATAAACTTACGCTATACATTGGAAGGTAGCAACTAGGTGATAATCAGCATTCAAACAGTAGTGTGACGATGAGAACCATGTCATGCATCATATTCAAACAATTAAATGGCTATCGAAAGATGATGTCAATTAAAACCAGTTTGTGATAAACATGAAACAGTACCTTGATTTCCAAATATGTGATGGCACCGCATTCTTTGCGGAAGTGTCCTCAGTAGTGGTTACCACAGATTTTGAAATTTCATCTGCTCCGGAAGCAGGGAAATTCAAAATAAGTGATGACAAGAATGGATCGGTTGCCGCTGCATTAGACACATTAGCATTTTCTGATCGATATCCACCGCTCCCTAGAAGCACCTGGAGATGAGCCTCACGAAGATCCCGGCCAAGGAGAGACAGTGCCTGACTGTTAGGAATAGCAACTCTACGCAATCTG